GGGAGGCGTTCCCCCCGCCGACCGGAGTCAGGGAGCGGGCGCTGCGTGCGCGGCGGCAGCTGTCGGCACGGCTGGCTGTTGGGAGTGCCTTGGGGAAGGAGCTTCCTGTCTGTCAACTGAGAATTGATAGTCCATACGGACCTTCAGGATGAGGTCTGGGAGCTCTGCATCAGCGCTCCGAAATGTAAGGGGAGATGTGATTCATAAGCATGTTCTTTCAATATGTATATACACACAGACATAGTATTCAGAGTATATGGGAACTTTTTTTATCAAGCCTTTGTGATGGTGTACACTTTGCCTTCCTAAAAATTTTGGAGGGAAGCAATCTATTACGTGAAGACTGAAAACCTTAATATATAGTTCTAGTTCTCATTGCCATTAATACTTTTGTGCTTTGCAAACCAGTGAATTACAACATTCCATGTTCTGTGGGTTGGGGAGATACTTATCTTGCTGGTAAGAAAACAACGACTTGGAAAGTGCTGCCTTGGCACTCTGGTCTGTGACAGGATAGGTGTTCTTTGTGCCTTGCCATTTGGGATGCCCTAAGCAGACAGGGCTGTTGTATAACTAGTGCTGAAACAGCATAGTCCAGTGTTACTAGCTGGACCATACGGATGTTATAATTTTTCCTAATACTGTGCTAAGCAGTCTGGCTAAATTCACTGAAAAGACTCAGGCAGTGAAAAATGCCTTCAGGCATTTAAGTCCTGCTCCCTTCAGGACTGACAGCACGTCTTGAAGGTGTTTTACATCTGCAGACACCTAGTTTTCCAGTAATAAACCTGGACCCTGAGTTGACCCTGAGTACGCAGTGTTGGATCTGAAGAGCTGGAATCAGTAGGCGTGCTCAAGACACGTTTTTCCTGAACAAAGTAAGCAGAAATGAGGCTTGTTTGGCTGTCTGTTCGTATTATCTCTGGTCCACAGATCACGAAGGCAGAGACACTGTAAGAAGTTTGTAATGGACCTTTGTTAACAGATGGTAGCTTTGTAACTAAAAGCATAAATTACTGGCAGGTTTGACCTCAACCTGTTCTGTAGTGAGATTTTTGATTAGAGGTTTTTCATTTCAGTCCTTATCCATCCTGTTTGGATATGTCTGCAATTCGATGAATTCATCTGAGCAATTGTATGTTTGCTTTCAAATCTGTTTTTTTCCCCAGTTTGAAGCAAGGAATTTAGTATAGGTCTTGAATCCGGATCTCAGAACTCTGTGCCAGTAGCTCTGCAGTCAGCCCATGCTGCCTTCTCCATCGAGGCAGTAGGTACTGTATAGTAAACAAACAAGCAAATATACCCACAAATTAATGGTTTTGTGCTTCATACAACATATTTACGTGGCCAGAGAGAAAAGGAGAGCATCAAGTGAGTGGTGAGAACGCTCACCTGGAGTGTGGAAGAGGTAGGGTCAGGGTCCCGAGTGTACCACCAGGCCCAAATTGCCCTGTTTCACCTGAAACCCCCACCTGCACTCCCTCTGCATGTTGGTCCTGGAGCTCAGCCCACAGGCCCTTGATCCTTGCCTGAGCTGCGTTGGCAACAGAGCTGCTCATGTGCTGTATGCTGCTGTTGCTGGCTTATTGACTTTGTGGCTTGGCCTTGGACTTGAGTCATCACCTTGCAGTTGTCTGGCAATCACTGGGCTGCTGACAGATCCAGTTGCCATCACCATCCCAGCAGTCCGTGGGGAGGTTGCTCTCCCTGCCTGTGTTGCAGTTGCTCTCGGCTTTCAGGTTGTCCTCCCTCATGGATCACCCCTGTCCTTGCTACTCCCTGGCATGTAGACTCAAATACCTGATACTGAATGACCCTCTGGGTATACTTTTGGGAACTGGAGATCCATGTTCAGGTCTCTATTTCTAAACTTAGCAGATGAGCCAGAAAATTGCGTTTTTACCTCCAAGGCGAAGGAGCTTGCCATGACTTTAATGAGAAGAGATGCATGGCTGACTAAGGACTTTTCTCTAGCCTGTAGTTACCTAACACACAGAGAAGCTCTTCTCTTGTGTGTTTCCTACTGTCTGCAGGTAGTAGAGGTAGGTCTCCTCACTCTTCTGCTGGTGCACCATGGTGTTTCCAGAAGGGAGAACACAGCCAGGTCTGCTGTAACCACTTCCTGTGCCTAACCTGGTTAGGTGACCAGTGAAGGTACGCTTGAAAAAAGAAGGGCAATTAGGAGCTACAAAATCCACAGGAATAAATACACCCATGTGCGCTCTGCCTCTAAATTTGATTATTCCCAGCCAGTCTCATTTGCAAGTGTAGGAAGGGAGAGTGTCTTACCATTTACAATGCTCGGTGTTTGTAGTGATGTTGTTATTCTTTGCACTAAACTGTAAGATCTTTGGGGCGGAAGATCTCCAAGCAGACAGATTCCTAGTGCAACTGGTGCTGTTCTTAATGGGATGCTATGGCAAAAGCTCTGCTCCAGAAACCAAAATGCCACTGTTTGTAAAGTTAGTAAAGCTGGCAGCAGTGCTTGTATTGCAGATGAAATGGAAATGCCAGGACTTCAAAACTGAAAAGACAGGCTCAAATTATAATAGCTAAAAAGAAATACTTGATTTTGGGTATGGTAGTTGTGACTTGCAAACCCTTTGTCCTGGTTTCAGCTGGGAAAATGCCACTGTTTGTAAAGTTAGTAAAGCTGGCAGCAGTGCTTGTATTGCAGATGAAATGGAAATGCCAGGACTTCAAAACTGAAAAGACAGGCTCAAATTATAATAGCTAAAAAGAAATACTTGATTTTGGGTATGGTAGTTGTGACTTGCAAACCCTTTGTCCTGGTTTCAGCTGGGATAGAGTTCATTTTCTTCCTAGTAGCTGGTATAGTGCTGTGTTTTGGATTTAGCATGAGAATAATGTGATAACACACCGATGTTTTAGTTGTTGGTAAGTAGTGCTTACACTGGTCAAGGACTTTTCCAGCTTCCAGTGCTCTGCCAGGTGCACAAGAAGCTGGGAGGGCGCACAGCCAAGACAGCTGACCCAGACTGGCCAAAGGGCTATTCCATACCATATGATATCATGATCAGTATATGAACTGGGGGGAGTTGGCCAGGGGGCAGCGATCGTGGCTTGGGCACTGGCTGAGTGTCAGTCAGTGGGCAGTGAGTGGTTGCATCACTTGTTTTTCCTGGGTTTTGTTTCTCTCTCTCTCTCCCTTTCTCTCTCTCTTTCTCTCGTTGTTTTCCTTTTCATTACATTATTATTATTATTTATTATTATTTATTATTTATTATTTATTATTTGTTATATTATTCTAATTATTTTATTTATTATTAAACTGTTCTTATCTCAACCCACAAGTTTTCTTACTTTTGCTCTTTGGATTCTCTCCCCCATCCCACCAGGGGGAAAGGGTGAGCAAGTGGTTGTGTGGTGCTTGGTTGCTGACTGGAGCTAAACCACCACAGTCCTTTTTGGCACCCAACGTGAGGCACGAAGTGTTTGAGGTAATAACAGATTAACCAGAGCTTGTTAAGGAATTATATCTGTTAACAGTTGCAGGTCACAATATTGATTCATCTGTTCTCGATATTAGTTTATCTGATCTGGACGATACTTTTTTTTTTTTCTTAACATGCTGTGCATGTTAAAGATTGGTGTTGGTCTTTGCAGTTTTCTGTCGTCTACAGTGATTAGTGATGTTTTGCCTGGGAGATCTGTTATTAAAACACTGGCCTTGAGCTTTATCTGGTATTTAAGCTTTGTACTGAAGCCATTACTGTACTTTGGGTACCACCTTGTGGAGACAACTGGCAATCGTTCTTCTTCCTCTCAGAGTTTTTTTATGTATGAAATACAGAATGGCACCTTTGCTACCTTCTATGATGTTTCCTTCTTCATTACAATAACTTTTCAGTATCTTGAACATCCTTGGATAGTTAAGATACTTCTATTGGTATTTCTTGGGCATATTGTTTTGGTTTTGTCTAAGGTTAATAAGCAATTTAAGAATGTCATCCGGAGATCTGCCCTAAGGCTGGATAGTTATGAGTGGCAGGGTGTGAGGGATAGTATGGGCAAGTACCTAGGAGAGTGGGCACCTCCAGTGTTTTGGAACTTCACCCCTGAACAAGTACAGAATCCTGAAAAATTAGTAGAATATTTGGAAAAAGTATGCTGTCACCCTAGCAATTCTAGGGAGACACAAATCACCGCGATGTGCTGGGGCCTGGCCCATGCCTACCGAGCCCTGTTCAACACTGTTTAGTACGCTCAAGGGGAAGAGAAGGTCTCTGGATCTGATGACAAAATGACAGGCACCACGGCTACTCCAACCCTGGCGACAGGCACTGCAGCTGAACCAGGGAACTAACCCGTGCTGCTATCAGTTGCCCCTATACACAAGAGAAATCTTGTAAGTGAAAGTCATCTCATTTAGAAAGGGATGATGAAAAAGCACGGCCATCACGAGGAGAAGAGGAGGAGGAACTCTTAAACGAGATGGAAACCACCCAATCCCCATACTTGAGTGAGCTGTGATATACGTGAAAAGATTTCAGCTGTTGTCCAGGCAAGCACATTTGTCACCTGGCTGCTCCAGTGCTGGGATAACAGGGCCAGTAGTCTGGAATTGGAGGGTAGGGAAGCCAAGAAGCTGGGATCCCTTTCTAGGGAAGGGGGCCCTGACAAAGCGATTGGAAAAGGGGCAAAAGCCCTCAGCCTCTGGAGACGACTCCTGTCAGGTATGAAGGAAAGATATCCCTTCAAGGAAGATGTTATATATTGCCCAGGAAAATGGACCACCATGGAGAGAGATATCCAGTACCTGAGGGAATTAGCCATACTGCAGGTGATTTATGATGACCTGGACAACGTGTGGTTATGCAGAGATCCAGATGAAGTCAGGTGCACATGACCCATGTGGCAAATGTTGGTACAGAGTGCACCAGTGTCATATGCCAACTCATTGGCAGTAATGACCTGGAAAGATGAAGAGGCACCGGCGGTGGATGAAGCAGCTAGCCGACTCTGGGAATACAAAGAAAGTCTCTCTTCCTCCCTTGTCTCGGCTGTGGAGAAACTGTCCCAGGAGTTCCAGCAACTCAAAGAGGATATGTCTTACTCTCAACCTGTACGGACCAGTATCTCAGCTATTAGGAGTCAGCGTCCCTCTGCTCAAGAGAGAGGATATAGAGGGTACACACCACGGGCCACCCTGTGGTTTGTCGTGGTTTAACCTCAGCCGGCAACTAAGCACCACACAGCCGCTCGCTCACTCCCCCACAATGGGATGGGAGAGAGAATCAGAAGAGTAAAAGTGAGAAAACTCATGGGTTGAGATAAAGACAGTTTAATAGGTAAAGCAAAAGCCCC